TGATAAAAAATTCAATACTCGATACACGATTCGTAACATTGGTGCTTTCATTGAGAGTTACTAATCGTGTATCATGGCAACTAATCGAGAGAGGATGGATCATATGGAGGAGAGCATGTGTGCAATGTGCGAATAAATTCAATCCACGAATCAAACGATGGCAAGACTCGAGAGGATGATGCTCCAAACCGTTGAACGACGGGCTAGGAGGGGTAACCAGTCGGAATCATCTTCCGAAGGGTCAGCCGAATCTGAAGAGGGTCGCGAGAACCAGAACAAATTTCTGGAGGATGAAGATGTTCGTTCAAGGGGATCAAACCATCGTGGTAGACAAAGGGTTAAAAAACCTAAGTTAATGCTGCCGACATTAAATGGTACGAATCCTGATTCATGGTTAAATCATGCTTGTCAATACTTTGAAATTAATGATATACCCAAGTCGGAAAGAGTGAAATATGCCGCCTATTATCTCGACGGAGAGGCGAATGTATGGTGGCAATGGCTATCGAGGGTTTACAAGAAGGAGGACAAACGGATTCGTTGGAAGAATTTCAAAAAGGAATTGATTATTCAATTTAGAGTGTCGGATTATCATAACTATGATAAAGTTCTTTCACATATCAAGCAAACGGGAAGCTTACGAGAATACCAAAAGGAATTCGAAAGAATTGCAAGTCGAGTTCGTGATTGGCCGGAAAGAGCACTTGTTGGTACATTCATTGGTGGATTGAAATTCGATTTGGCAGCGGATGTGAGGCTAGACAAACCAAGAACCATGTGTGCCGCCATGGAAGCCGCTAGGATGCGTGATGATCACTTGATGGCACTACGGAGGGCCAATTGACCGGAAGAGAGGCGACCGATGACTTTCCCTTCTAATGTTCAAAGAACGGGAGCCAATACATCAACTGGCAATGGAAAAGACCTTTCTTCGGGGGTTAAGCGTTTGTCTTGGGAAGAGACGCAAAGATGGAGGGAGAAAGGCATGTGCTTTAATTGTGATGAGAAATTCACACCCGGACATCGGTGCACAGAAAGGCGATCGTTCTTCATTGAATGCGTTGAGTCCGAAGAAGATGAAGTAGTTGAGGATGAATTGAAGAGTGTAATCGATCCTCACGAGGAGGACCCGGAGATATCGGTGCATGCAATGGCGTGGACTCAAGGACACAAGACGATGAAGATGCCAGCTTGGGTTCGTGATAGACGTGTACTTGTGCTAATCGACAATGGTTCATCTCATAATTTTATTAATTCATCATTGTTCGATAAGTTAAATTTACATGTCACAAAAGTTGAGCCATTTGAAGTGAGGGTTGCTAATGGTGAGAGGTTGAAATGCTCGGAGTTTTACCGGGGTGTGCCGATAAAAATGCAAGGGGTAACTTTAAAGGCTGACTTGTATGCACTACCTTTGGTAGGTTCGGACGTGGTTTTGGGGGTTCAATGGTTAGAAGTATTGGGTCTGGTTACTACGGACTATAGAGTGGGAACAATGGAATTTCGTTGGGGTGATGGAATGGTTAAATTATCAATCGGAGGAAAGGAGAGAACGAAGGAGGTGAGTGCTCAAAGTTTGGAGAAATTGTAGAGACAAGTAGTCAAATCTTCGCCATTAGAGTCGATAAATTGGAGGGTGTTGATGAGGGACACTTTTAGCAAAAGGAGATTGACGAGTTGCTTCAACAATTCGAGGAAGTGAAAGCTGATCCGAAAAATCTACCACCACGAAGAGAGTTCGATCATCGCATTCCTTTGTTGGATAAAACCAAAGTTGTACATGTACATGCTTATAGGTATGTCCATTTTCAGAAAATCGAGATTGAGAGGCAAGTTCGTGAAATGCTAGAGTCGGGATTAATCCAGCATAGTACGAGCCCTTTTTCTTCACCGGTGCTTCTCGCCAAGAAAAAGGATGGGACGTGGAGGTTTTGTACTGATTATCGGGCCCTTAATGCAGCTACCATAAAGGATCATTTTCCTATTCCAAGCATTGATGACATGTTGGACGAGTTGGCAGGATCCCGTTATTTATCCAAATTGGATTTGCGAGCGGGTTACCATCAGATACAAGACGGCATTCCGGACTCATCAAGGGCACTATGAATATTTTGGTAATGCCTTTCGGTTTATGTAATGCACCATCCACCTTTCAATTCGCTATGAATTCGATATTTCAAGATTACTTGCGAAAATTTGTGTTGGTGTTCTTCGATGATATATTGGTGTATTCGAAGAATTAGGATGAGCATGTGATGCATTTGAAAGTGGTCTTGAATATTTTGAAGGAGAACGATTTTCAGATAAAGCCTTCGAAGTGTTTTTTTGGCCAAGAATCGGTAGAGTATTTGGGCCACATCATATCTTTTGAAGGAGTTAAAGTGGATTCCAAGAAAACTGAGGCGATGTTTGATTGGCCTAAACCGAAGTATTTGAAGGAACTACTGGGATTTTTGGGGCTAGCCGTATATTATCGAAAATTTGTCAAAGACTTTGGATCGATTGCTAAACCATTGACGGAGATGACGAAAAATTGAGGGTTCAAATGGTCAGCTTGTAGTGAGGAGGCATTCGAAAAACTCAAGGGGGCCATGTCAACGACCCCGGTTTTGGCCATGCCTAACTTTGAGGTGATGTTTGAAGTGCATACGGATGCTAGTGATGTGGGAATTGGAGCCGTCCTTACGCAAGAAGATCGACCCATTGCTTATATGAGTAAAACCTTAGGGGGTGTACGAGTAGGATGGTCGGTCTACGTGAAAGAGTTGCTAGCTGTGGTAGAAGTGGTCCGGGTTTGGAGGCCTTATCTTTTGGGCCGACATTTTCGAATTGTGACGGACCAACAACCACTAAAACATTTTTTGAAGCAAAGAATAGTGACTCCGGAGCAACAAAAATTTGTGTCAAAACTCATGGGGTTCGACTTTGAGATTTGTTATAGGCTGGGTCGACAAAATGCAGTGGCGGATGCATTATCTCGTTGAACGGACGTGGCGGAACTACAAGCCATTTCGGGACCAACATGGGCTATATGGGATCAACTACGAGAGGCAAATGTTCAAGATGCCTTTTGTAATGATGTTCGTAGGAAAATGGAAGCTCAAGAGGAGGAGGTCCAAGATTATGATGTTTATGGCAGCTTGTTACTATACAAAGGTCGGGTGTTTGTACCGGAAACTGACCATTTGAGAATTGAGTTGGTGCAATATTTCCATGAAGCCAAGATTGGGGGACACTCGGGAGTGTATCTTACGTGGGCAAGGCTATCCAATACCTTTTATTGGTCGGGGGCAAAGAACGACGTTCGGGAGTTCGTAACAAAGTGTGACGTTTTCCAAAGAGTGAAGTTGGACTCCAGAAAACCGGGAGGGCTTTTACAACCTTTACCAATACCCGAGAGAATTTGGGTGGACATAATAATGGACTTCATCGAAGGACTTTCAATGTCTAATGGGTTCAACGGGATCATGGTGGTCGTGGATCGTCTTACCAAGTATGCACATTTCATTCCTATTACTCATCCATATACGGCTAAATCCATAGCTAAGTTATTTATTGAGTATGTAATGAAGTTACATGGGATGTCTCGGTCCATTGTGTCAGATAGGGATCGGATATTCATGAGTAGTTTTTGGAAGGAATTCTTCAAAATGCAGGGTACCGAGTTGGCTATGAGCTCAGCATATCATCCTCAAACGGACGGGCAAACCGAGGTAACCAATCGCATCCTCGAACAATATCTCCGATGCTATGTTCATGAATTTCCAAGAAAATGGGAAGGATTTCTACCGTGGGCTGAATTTTGGTATAATACAACGTACCATGCATCGACCAAATTCACTCCTTTCGAGTTGGTCTATGGACGAAAGGCATCTCTACTGGTGAGTTATCCGATGAGAAATCACCGAATGATGAGGTGGATCGTGAGCTCATGGAACGAGATCTTATGATTCGGGAGCTCAAAGGAAACTTGTACGGGTCGATCAATCGAATGAAGGGATACTATGATAGAGGAAAAAGAGAGGAACGGTTCGAACCGGGTGATTGAGTTTACTTGAAGCTTAGACCTTACCGCCAACATACAATATCTCAAAAGGCTTTATTCAAGTTTGGAAGCCGTTTCTATGGCCCATACAAAATTCTGGAACGCGTGGGTGAAGTTGCCTATTGACTTGATCTTTCGGCCGAAGCTAAAATCCATCCGGTGGTTCATGTGTCTCAGCTAAAGAGAAGTTTGGGAGAAAATCAAGGAGTTCTACCGAGGTTGCCGGTAGTGAATTCTGAAGGCACAATGATCATACGTCCCATACGAGCTAAGGATTATCGGAGGACAAAAAGGGCTGGTCGCTTCCGTTGGAAAGTCTTAATCGAATGAGACCAACTTCCGGAAGAAGAATCAACTTGGGAAAATTTACAAGATATGCGGATTCAGTTTCTGGATTTTGTCCTTGAGGACAAGAACGCTCTTGAAGGGGACGGGAATGATGCGGATGAGGGCCGTCAGCTGAAGAACGCGTACAACCGGGCTCGTCGAGCTCGAATGAAGCTGCAGAAAAATAGCAGCTTTACAAGGGTAAGCGCCGCTAAGGACCCTTAGCAGCGCTAAGGCGGGTAGCGGGCGCTATTTTCGGACAGAGGGTTTACGTTGTATTGAATAGCGGCCAGTAAGAGACCCTTAGCGGCGGTAAGGCCCCGGCGAGAGCAGTTTTTTTATTTCAGTTTTCTTTTCGTTTCTAGTGTGTTTGGGTAGTTAGTAGGATTATTAGTATGTCGTTTTTGGCACATTTGCAGATTATCTTTGACATTGTTATCATATTTCTTAAGAAAAACTTGTTTTCAAGCATCCCATAGTATCTAAATCGAGTACTTTAATCCGATTTTGATACAAAATTCGATATTAACAGATGGCTCACGAGCGGCTATGCCATCTGTGGTGTCGTACGAGTAAAACATAAAAATAGAAACAAATAGAAAGTCTCTCTCATTCCCTTCGTCAACCAATGTACCCGAAGCTGGTCATCGGGCACCAAAACCTTCTGCCCATATCCCCTTCTCCACCTGCATTCGCCCCTTCCGCAAACCCTCCTCTAATCTTGCGCCATCGTCACTCAGTAAAGCTCAGGCCACGAATTAGATGCACGGGTAGCAGTAACAATGGCAATGGGGCTGCGAAAAACTGGGAAAAATGGATGCCCAGAAATCTTTTTGCTGCGGAGAAAGTATTTGGAGCAATATCTGGGGCAACTTCAAGTCCCATTGCGCAGTACATATCTAATCCTGTCACTTTTCTGCACCGTGTTGACCCAAGAATCAAGATGGTATATCACATTTTTATATATATATATATATATATATATATATATTTTTGTATTTGTAATTGTTGTTACGGTTAAATTTTTATGCTCGGTGATTAGTGTGCTTGGTGATGTCTTTGTTATTGTTATTGGAAGAATAGTTAGTTTGTGGTGCTGTTTATTATTATAAATTGTGCTAGTTTTGATTTTGTTTATGGTGCTGTGTAATAGAACTTATTGGAGTTTTGGGGTTTTTGGATTGGATGAAATACTTAGTCTGGGTTTGGTTTTTTGTTTGTATAATTTGGATTTTCAGATTATGTTTTTCTTTGCATCTGGTGGTTCTTCTGATAAAGTTTGCAGATTCAGTTCTTTTTAGTCACAGGTTGAGTATGTCATGCTTGCTTAAAGACCTGATATATGTACGTTTTGGGTTGGAAAGAATACATTTTGTATAAGCCTCTGTAGATTTGACTCGTAATATATATCATTTTTCTTGAAGTTGTAATTTACAGAATTTTCTCTAGAAAGTGCGTTGTCCAAGAGATGTCAAAGAGAGATAAAGATTTTGTGCATAACTACATTGACATTACGCTTATATAAGAATCCTAATTCCCGTAGAGTGCAGGTATGGCTGCTAGCACTGGTGATTTTACCAGCAGGATCCAATTTGACGATGCGTGTGGCACTAGTAGTTTATCTAACCTTACTGTCCATATGGGTCCAGCCTACTGCTGTGTGGAAGGTAAAAGGCAAATCAAAAAAAAAAAAAGAGAGAGAACGAGGTTTATCTATTTGTAATGAAGGTCCAACTATGTTTCAGAATTACAAATACCCGTGATATTTGGTTTTCTTTTTTTTTTTTTATAAATTGCATTATTAGTCGATGAATGAGGATTTTTTATCAATTTGATCAAAGAGTACAAACCTCATTCGGTTATTTGTAAAAACACTAAAAAACTATGAAAGAAAATTGCCCTTTTATTTTGGTCAATCGACCAATTTTTATGTGTAATTTTTATAGTTGGGTGATAAATGTCTCATATAACTATAATATTGTTTTTAACTTGTACATTTTGAAGTGCAACATATATGTAGTACTTGTACTTTGTTCATGCAGGGAAAAAGGCTTATTAAATGTCCGATATTGTTGTAGGATCAATTGGGAAGGGTTACGTTGATCTGTGGTATCTTGTTTGTTTTATTGGGGTTGAGTGCTGATGGTGCCCCTTCTCTTTTACGCTCGAGAAGCCCGCCATCTTCACTCACTGGACTGCCGCCTCCTCCTGCATCTTTTGAAGGTTATAAATACGTCATTGTGAAATTCGGGCCATTACAGCTCACTCAGTTAGGCTTGTCAGCAGCTACTACGGCAGCGTGTTTAACATTCACTGTGAGTCTGCACTATGTTGTCATTTATTTGTATTTACAAATTTTTTCTTGCTCAAATTTTGGAAGTATGTAATTGTATAATGGGAGAATGGCTCAAAATAATTGGCGGCTGTTGATATAAAACCATTCTTTATAAATGGCCTTAATCTGCCATGTCAATTTATCTGCCCAAATTCTCATTCGGCATTAATGATTAGTTTCATTTTCAAAGATCTTTCAAAGTGCCAGCCTTTGCTTAACAACGACAACGCCGGAACAGCTTGCATTTGCTTTGCAATGGTTTATTCTGCCTTTGGCTAATGTTGGTGTGCCAGTGGCTGAACTCATCCTCACACTCCTACTGTCAATAAGATTTATTAATCTTGTGCTTGATGAGGTAGTATGAAAATTGGTGCCAAGTATTCAGATGGAGTCTAATTGAGATTTTTGTACTAACCCGACATTTTTTTTTTCCGTGTGTTTTGCAGGTCCGCAATGTGGCACTGGGAATTGTATCTCGTAGAATAAAATGGCAACAGTTGACGACCCTGGAAACAATTGATGGTATTATTAATATGGCTGCGTGATATGTTGTTTCTTTATTTTCAGGAAATGTGTTGAAATCATGATGTACCTTTTATAAGAATTCGCTTATGATCACCCAAATATGCCTTGTGGCTGCTCCTTCCATTAACATGCTTTCATGAGACATGGTAACATGATGTTTTTCAAATACTTGAAGAAAGTGATTCTCAACTTCGGCTGGGGAAGAAAAGTGTTTTCACGTCTCAACTTCTATTTCTACATCTGATATTTTGCATATTTTTAATCAGAAAATAAGAGCAGATGGAGGGTTGCTCTATGGATATCTGCAATCTGTATCTGATTTGACTTCCATACATTAAGAAAGAACTTGTGCAACTTTTCATTCCAACATTCTCTTCAACTTATTCAATTTTGAGTCTATTTGTGAAGCTAATAGCTTGTGACTCTCCTATAAATCTGTTTCCTGTAGAATTAGAAGAATTTTGGTATTGGATACATTTTTACTTGGCATCTTGGTTTTCGTGCAGTTTTCTTTACCTATATTAGACGGATTTTCAGCAATATCTATAGCCATGCCGCACAAATTAGCCAGGTTTGAAGTTCCATCATCTCTGTAATTTTTGGTTTCCATTTAGAAAAGAATGTGATTTGAAATTGTTCTTCTGTTAGCTTGAGAAGTTAGTTTGCTACGTGATTAATGATATGACATCAATTTTTAGCTTTTAGCATCTTGTTGATTGTAGAAGAACATTTGGGACAAATTCATTATTCCTCGTAGACATGAATTCCGTGTTTCATTTTCTGCAGGCGATGATTGTGAGAGGTTTTCGAGGAGATTGTGATTCTCACCGAGTTTTTCTGTCAGCAGGCTCATCTGATAGAAATGCGAATATAGTAGCTACCTCTTGCCTTGTTGGTCTCATTTTTGCTGCCACCCTTCCAAATTACTTCCACATTTGATATCTTCTACTACTAAAACAACTGCGTTGAAACTATTGTAGTCTTTATATAATGAGTTCTGAAGTTCTTTTGCACAAAAAGGATATTATAATTCTAAGTTGCCGTAGAATGGTTTGGTCTTGTTAGTGATAGAAAAGACGGTAGATTTCGCCGGTCCCAATCGGGTCATTGTATTTCTCCAGGCTCATATTTTATGGAAAAAATATATTAATTGGTGGATGGCATGTTTATATTTTTCTTTTTTTTTTTTTTTTTTTTTT